GAGAGGAGATTCCTGTCTTTATCTCTTTCTTTGTGGCTGACCTTCTATTGGACTCGATGTGAGCCAGAAAACGACCCTTGTGCTTTGCAACAGTGCATCTCTGCTGATGACAACGACCCCTGTGCAGCAACAACACTTTAGGAATTGGTTCCTTTAAAAGGGATGCTCCTTGCTGCCTGGTGGGAAGGGAAAGGCCTCAGCATTACCCTCTCTTTTCCAGAGAGCAGAGGGGTTTGGAGGCACAAAGGGCAGCAGGGTACAGGAATGCCCCTGTCTCGCCTCCCTTCTGTCTTTTGGGCCCTGAGTATAATGTAGTCCTTTTGCCAAGTTCCTGACACCCACCTCACTTGCCTTCTCAGCAGCACTGCCCCCTCCCTTGACTTTCCCACCTTCTCTCTGCCATACCTTTCACCGTCTCCTCTGATGCTTCTCCCTCATTGCCCCACTCTCCAAACAGCAGTGGGCGCAGATCCTTACACCTTTTCTCATTTCTATCTATGCCGCTTCCTAAATATTCTCATCCAGGCAAACAGGTTTAAACAAATACCTTCTATATGTTGTTGACTTCTCAAAATATAATTTGTCCCAGACTTCTCCCTGGCCTCAGATGAATTACCAATTGCCTACTCACCTTCTACATTTGGGTGTCAAACAGGCATTTCAAACGTGAAGATGCAAGATGGCTTGTTTTCCTGATATTCCTGCCCTGATACCTGTTCCTCTTACTGCCTTCCCTATCTCAGTAAATGAGGATTCCACTGCTATTTACTGCTGTTTGGGACAATTACCTTGCGAACATCCTGATTTCTCTCTCTTTCTCTCTCTCTCTCTCTCTCTCTCTCTCTCTCTCTCTCTCTCTCTCTCTCTCTCTCTGTCTCTCTCAGATCCCATTTCTGGTATGTGAGCAAATGATGTCATTCGGGAGCCTGACTGTACCACACCATTGTTACGAGGACAAGGTGCCACCGTCTGCTGAGGTAGGAACCTCCCCTGGCTCCCTGCTTCACCCTTGCCCACCTCCTCTCCATTCTGCATGTGACACCCAGAGAGCTCCTGGCAAATGTGGGTCAGGCCACGTCACTTCTCAGTTCACTGAGTTGCTGCTTAGCTCACTCCTAGTAAAAATCCAAGATCTTACAGTGATTTTCATGATCTACTTCCTGGTTACCTTGAACCTCATCACCTACCTCTCTCCCCCTTCTTCACTCCTCTGCAGTCACATTAGCCTCCTCTCTGTTCCTCAGATACATCACCATGCTTCTGCCTTGAGGCCTTTTCATGGGCTGCTCCCTCTGACCAGAACACTCTTTTCCCAAATAACTAGAGGATTTGTTTCCTTACTGCCTTCAAGTCTTCATTCAAATACCACCTTCTCAGTGAGGTATTTCCTGGCCACACCACCTAAATTACTGTCTCTCAACACTTCTGTCCCTCTCTTGCTATTCCATCTTTCTCCATGGTACTTACTACTCGCTGACCATACTACTTAATTTATTGTCTGTCTCCCTACCAGAAGGTAAGTTCCATGGGGCCAGGGGAGTTTGACTGCTTTGCTCATTGCTGTCTCCCTTGCACCTAAAACGGTGCCTGCCATGGAGCAGACCTTCAGTTGGCAGACAGATGGGTGGAAGCATGAACTGGAATTTATTTGTGTATGTAATTTACCAGCTGCATCATTTACTCAAATTACTTAGAAGTACTTCCTAACCATGCCCTTTCTCTCTGTCTTCCCTAGTACTGTTACTTCTATTTCCTCACTGGTTTTTGTACCTTTTCCAGGGAAAATGACTGATTGGGCTCCCGCAGGCATGTTCACTACCAGGTAATGAGGTGTCACTGCATTGCCCTGTACTGCAGACACCTGTTCCTCACCAATGTCCTACACCGGTGGCCTCTTGTAAGTGCTGACAGGCTTCTGCCCAGGGGAGAAGCAGAAGCTCCCAGGGACATTGGTGAAGAGTGATGATGCCTTTTTTTCCTTAAAGACTACTAAAAGACTAGCTGAAAAGAGTTGTCAAATACACTATAATGTAATCTTTTAGCAATTTCAAAGGCTAAGATACTATGTTAATTGAAAAACATGATTTATAGCAGCATTTCCCCCCTTGTTTTGTTTCAAAGGGCAAACTATGAACTCCTGAAGACAGGAATATAGTTTCTGAACCATAAGTTGCCTTTTCTGCAAATCTACTAGGTTGCCAATTCCCTAATAATTGAATTCATCAACTGCTTTTATTGAATTTCCACAATAGACACAGCCCTCTGGACTGGTTTCTTGGCTCCATTACTATGTCTCTCACATCCATTTCATTGCATAGGTCTATTTTACTCTATATCTTGCTTTTTTATGTACTCCTTCCCTTGCCCCACCCCTGTAGAACTCTTCTACCAGCATCTCCACTGTGGAAGGAGGCAGGCTCCTATTCCATTCTCCTAAGGCAGACTGGCTGAGGACAAGAAGCAGATACCAAAGGCTCCTCCAGCCATCAGGAAAAAGTACGAGGTGGGAGGAACAACAGTCTCCAGAGTCTGATTTCATCCATATTCGGGCTTTTGACAATCTTGGCAGAGGTTCTATCCACTGGAGTAGGCAGTTTATCACACTTTTCTCAAAGCTTGGCCAGAAATGTGGGTAGAAGGGCCTTTTCCCTGTGATCTGCTCCCCAGCAGCAAAGAATTCTCTGTGCTGGGAACTCCTTGGGATTTATTCATTTAATGGTCAGGACAGGGAAGCAGCACACTTCTCCTCAGAAGCTCTTGTTTGAGGCAAAGAACAGAATAACTATGTGTATCTATGGGCAGCAACTAACTGCTAAGCAAGTAGCTGATGCCACACATTTTTAATAATATGCTAAGAAACTTGCTCATCAGCATTAACCATGACCTTGGGTCTCCACCCTGACTTAGGATGGAGAGAGGGACCAAGATGCCAGTTTCTGTGTTTCAGAGGTAAGCATCTCTGTGGTATTTATTTACCATACCACTCCATGCCCAACTAATTAACTCCTCCACAGTTCCAGCAACACTATAACAGAATCTGCCAAGCATTTTTCCAGAAAGACCCTCAGTGGCACCATTGCTCATTGTTACAATCCATTGAAGGCCTTGTCTTCCAACTTGCAAAATGACTTAGTAGAGCATGAAAACCTCCTTAGGTTATTAAATTATGTTGTTACCAGTGTCTTGTTATTTGTGTTTTAATTTTGTATTTGCTCGTGAGCAGATATCAGAAAGGGAGCAGCTGGTGGATGGATTCTCAGTCTCTGCAACAAGGGAGCAGAGATTCTGTTCTTGTGAACATCTTTAGCTATCTCCTTCCCTACTTCCTCTACCCGACCCTTCTCTGGATTCCCAGTTAGAACTCAGATATGAATGAGTGGAAGCACACGGAAATCAGTCATGGAGCTTGAACACGAGGACATAACTCATGCCTACTCACAAGGCCGAGGAATTAGACTCACTGTATTTACATATTTGTGCTAGGACGTATATGCACACATACACTTACACACAGGGATTTAAAAATTGATGGGAAAGCCGTCATTTTCTCCAGGTCAGCTCTCCTGACAGTCCTGCGGCCTTCCTAGCCTCCTTAAGGAGAGAAGCACTTGACCAGTAATGGCATCCTGCTTGCCCTCCATCAGTGTCCCTGAGCCTCGGTGGGACTTGTCATCTCCCTCTGTACTCAGGGAATGCTTCTGGCTTCCCACCCTTACCTACCTGACTCCATATAGCAGCCATCTTGGTTGGCTATTTAACCTGTTTGGTTCCTGACAACCTGACATGCTCAATGTTTAGGAACTATTTTTAAGTTACAGTGCTTGAGGACAGAAATGCGCCTGTTCAACGTGTGAAATGAAAGAGAAAGATTGCACACAGAAAGGCAGGAAGTGTATGGCAGTCACAGAGATGGACACCAAATGAATCAGGGAGTAGTTAGAGCTAACCAGTGGTCCTCAAATGTACCTGGCAGCACGATCACTGGCGGGCTTGTTCAAGCCGACTGCTAGGCTGCATCTGAGTCTCTGGGGCAGCAGTTCTGAAGTACAGCCCAAGAGTTTGCATTTCTAGCTAAGTTCCCAGGTGCTGCTGGTGCTGCCTGTCCTGAGACCACACTTGGAGAACCACTGGGCTTATCTGATGAGAGTCTGAATTCCCGTGGTTCATCATCTTGCAAGTCAGTACCACCCATCACCCACATTTCTGTCCCAGCAGTAGCATAGCCAACAGTCTGCCTCATGCCCCCAGTGGAAGGGATTTGGCTCCATTTCTATAACCTAACTGTCAAATGCTTCTGGGCTTCCTCAGTCTTCCCATTTAGCACTTTGATCTGACCTCCTTAAGAGAAACCTTTGGCTCCCTTTTCTATGAAAAAGTGCAATGGTACTTGGAAGTCTGCTGCAAAAGGGGCGAGAATCCCTACTTTCTTGCATGGTGAAATTATTCTTTTGAACAAAGCTGGAGCAGGCAGCTTGCCCATCTGCCCAAAGAGATGGATGCTGAAGGAAGATGTCTGATTTAAAAATAAAGGGTCCTTTGGCCCTGGCTGGTGTGGCTCCATGGATTGAGCACAGTCTGTGAACCAAAGGGTCACTAGTTTGATTCCCAGTCAGGGCTGCAGGCCAGGTCCCCCGTGGGGGCCACATGAGAGGCAACCACACATTGATGTTTCTCTCCCTCTCTTTCTCCCTCCCTTCCCCTCTGTATAAAAATAAATAAATAAAATCTTTAAAAAATATATAAAGAGTCAACCTTAGCAAAATCTCAGCTGTCTTTAAGATCAAAGACTGTACAAGGAATATGAGGCTTTATAGATCAACAGCAATCATTTCACATCTGTGACTAACTTCTATGATTAGCAAATGATTGGTGTCAATGAGACCAATGTTGCTCCAGGAAGACAACTGTAAAGAAAGATTGGTGGTGAAAGATTTCTGCTGTCCTCGCCACCATCTCCTCCCTCTCCCAGAACCCAGTCAAGACAGAGGAGGGCTGCTCACTGTTCCGGGGCTTTTCCTCATCCATGCCTTCATCCTCGTTCTCAGGGTCTATGTCTTCTGCCTGTGTGATCCAGTCCAGATAGCCTTTCAGGTCCTCTTCCAGCTGCTGCTTCTCTCGCAGCTTCTGGAAATCTCCTCGAGCCTTAGCCTTCTCCCTCTCTTTGGAGAACTCTCTGTAGAGAGAGAGGAGTGGACAGGGCAGGGCAGTGCATGGATGGAAGGAAGAAGCGGGTGGGGCATGAAGGAGAGATGGGAACAAGGGGAAACAAAAGTGTGAATTGCTTTGCACTTGAAAGTCCACCCACGTACCCACACTTCCACAGACAGCTTTCTCTAGTCATCCCAGGTTTTGTCTTTACTCTCCCATAAATGGAGGAAGTTACAGGAGGGAGGGATGAAATCCATTTCCCTTTTTCCTGGATCATGATTACAGGCTTTGTCTTTAACAACAACTATTCTCCAGTAACCTGGAAACTCCTTCTGAACAACAACCTAAAAAACCTCCACCAACAGTACGGAACATGCATTTGATTTGCATTTCCCCCAGTATTGGGTGGCAGGAGAAAATGCTTGAGAGCCTCTGGATGACAGGAAGTGTTAGGAGCAGTGGTGTGCTGATGCCCACCAACCACAGCGGCTCCTGAGAGCCGCCTGTACACGGCTCTTCCCAATTCTGGCTTCAGTGAGGTGTCCATGGTGGCTTGAAATTGGCCATGGTGGGAATATTTACACCATGGAAAATAGCAAATGTTATAAAGTAGGGCTTCCCCCAACCCCAATGAGCCAATTGGCAATATTTACCAGTATACCACTGATTTGAGTCCCAGAGGACTGAATCCCCTCTGTCTCTATTCTCATAACTGGGTTTCCTTCTGCCACTCTTAGCTGCCTGGAAGGATTTCTAATTTAGAGAAAGTTCTTTCCCACATGGGAACAAATGAGAATTCCAAACACAAGAAAATGTCCTGGGGGTCTCCTTTATGGTTAAAAAAGAAATCTAATCAGAATGGAAAAATACGTAAAATCAAGATGATATAAAAGTTAAATGATGCATTCATTTTTAAGTAATAATGAGTAGAAACTGGAATTGAATTGGGGTTTGCTGGAAGAAGGACCTATTGAAAAATTTACAGTGGCTATTGCTTTGTTCTTTTCTATGATTCTATCCTTATTTCCTCTCTAACTTCAAATTCATTTTCTGAGCAAGGCAGGGCTGGCAGCAGAAGGTGATAATCAAGAAGGCTAATTCTTAACTTGCAAAGCCAGGAGCATTCCTGTGTTTGATAACACAGTCTATGGGAAGTGGGGCCCTCAGCAGTGTGTGTGTGGCATGCACTGGGCATCTTAATTCTTACAAGCATGATTCCTCCTTCTTTTACCTTTACCAGTAAAGGTAAGAGAAGTATTTCAGGGTGGGAGGCTGCAGAAACCATCTTGCGAGAATTTCTTGCACAAACGAAACTCTCTATAGGAAAGGAACCTTGGAAGGAAAGACACTCCAACAAACTATAGGGGACAAAGGTTCAGCTCCTGAATTCACTCAGTGATGTTGGGTAACTCACCACACCCACTGTCTAGTATTCAAATTTGCCAGTGCCACTCGAGAGAGCACTGATTTTAGCACTCACCATTTCCATGGTGAAATGGGGGTGAGGCTGGGAGTGGCCTAGGGAACTTTTTAAATTAGGAGATGTGGGGGCTCTCAAGCTAATGAGCTCTCTTCAAATGCTATCTTAATGATGCTCTGGTTTAGATGGAATTTTCTTCTTAAATTTGATTGAATCCATTTCTAATTGGATTGAACTTGCTCTTTCTTGGGCTTCCTGCCAACTGGCAGTACCTTCATTTCCTTCCCAGGGAGTTTAATGCCAGGGAAAAGGGGCCAGATTAACAGCTTGCGGTAAAGATGGAAGCCTTGCTCTGCTTTTCCCCCTCTCCTTTCGTCATTGGGGGTGGGCATGGAAAGATGCCAGTCCCTCTGCCCCCAAACTTCTATACCTGGTCTCACTGTCCCAGGACATAGGCTTGCTCTCAGGACACAGTCATTTCATATAGAGGAACACTCCCCATGCAAATCAATTCCAAAACTACACTTCTAGGCCCCCTCTCTTTCTACTCACACACATTTGTACTCTTTATTCTTTTTCCTATGGAGTGGGTTTAGGTTGTAAGGAGACTAAATAGCTGAGTGTTTACTTTAGCTCTTTTGGAATATTTTGCAGAGTGTTCAAATTCTAGTTTCAAAACAACTCCCCATCCCATCTTCCTAGTTGGGAGACTAGAACTGGGATCAAACTGAAGTAGGGATGATTGACTCAGTCTTGTTATAGCATCTGCCCTCTGGAATAAAAACTCCCCATGTGTACCCCAAGACCTCTGGGGACCCAACATAAACAACCACTGGGAAAAAAGAAAAATGAGGTGTGTTGAGGGTGTGAGGGGCAGAGGAAAGTGGCAGTGGCAGATCTGAAGGCCTGTGGCTCCCCCTTGGCTCCCAGGGAGCGTAAGGTACCATCAGACCCCATGCGGTAAGGGATTCTGTGGTGGCAGTGCCTAGCTCTCTTTATCTCCTTGCCTGGATATGAGCCATGCATCTGCTCTGGGGACTGAGCTAATGAAGACATGAGGCCCCAGCCTGATGGGCTGTGCCCAGGGGCGGGAGCTGGCCAGACAATCAGTCACAGTTGTGGGCTTTGTCATATAGCAGAAGCACATCTCTGGCCAGCAATGGCCAACATGAAAAATGAGGATGGAGTATAGAGCCAGAGGACCTGGACTCACTAATGCAAAAACCAGCGTACAAAGGAAGGTACATGTGGAAAGCCCAGTCAATACAGGTGGCTGGGGCTCTAGGCCCTCTCTAATCAATAAATACAGTTGGTCCTCACTATTCAGATTCTGCATTTGTGAACTTGTCTACTTGCTAAAATTTATTTGTAACCCCTCAGTGAATAACTAGTGTGCCTTTGAGGTTATCTGCAGACATCTGTAGAATGGTAAAAGACTGGAGTCCCATTCCTAGCTGAGGTCAGACAAGCTGATGCTGATGCTCTGTATGTTTGTTTCTGCTAAGACTGCTAACAAAGGTCTTTTTTAGGATCTATTTAGTGCCACATTTGTGTGCCTTTTTTGGTGATTTTACAGTATAAAATTGCCCCCAAGCACAGTGCTGAAGTGCTGTCTAGTGTTCCTCAGTGCAAGAAGGCTGCCATGTGCCTGACAGAGAAAATATGTGTGTTGGACAAGCTTTGTTCAGGCCTGAGTTACAGGGTTGCTGGCCATACGTTCAATGTTAACAAACCCACACCATATATCAAATAATATGCATTTAAGTAGAAACATACAAAATACAGGTTATATACCAATCACTTGATAAACATGTTGTGATCAGAGACTCGAAGAAACCTAGTCTTACATTTCTCCTAAGAGCGTGTTCAGTATTTGATACTCAGCATTTCTGGTGACTTCACAGAATAATGAGAATTGACTGTCTACGTTGCCATGTCTTCTGCTTCTACCTGCAGTGCACACATGTCCTGGTCTTTCTCCTGCTTCTTTCTGGACCTGCACGTTGTGCCATGGTCTAGTCATGTTCTCAGGCTATAAAATGCCTGTCTCCCAAGCTTTTTGGGGGAGAGAGACATGCCCATTTCCCAGTGGGCAGAACTGGATGCCTGTCCATCGAAGAAATCCCGGGCTCCTTGTCAACTAAAGGCACATGTCTGGGGCCCTCTGTTCATAATCACTTAAAAATAAAAAGTGACTGGGTTCCAGAGTCCAGGGACTTGCAACTGATTACAGCTTCCAATGCAATTTCAAGAATCTCATTGTCATTGCCATTTTAATTCTGATAAGATGGAAGCTGAGATTTCTCAAGGGGAAAACAAATATAACCTGATTCACATCTGTGTAACACCAGGCCTGTGGCTTGTGAGGATCCATAGGTAATGAACATGGAAGCACTCTGAAAAAACCCACAAGACGTATATTCTTTACACTGACTCTATCATCCGGCCTTGTCAGGAATAGTGTTCTGGATATGTGAGTATTCCAGGTAAAAGATACCTAAAGGATCCTCTGATGAACAAAATTTTGGATTTCCACCTTTAAATGAAAGTTTTATGGACTGTCATCTTCCCTACATCCATAAGTAGCAAGCTCTGAGAACAATTTAACCTTTTCTTGGTGACTGAAGGATACAGTTTGAGCATGAGTTTCTGTGCTGGGCTGTAAAATATTATTAATTGAAAGCTGTGGGTGTCATGCCCCCAGCCACAGAACACTCCAAGCCTTCAGTGCTGCTGAGCTGGGGGCTGTTCTCTCTGCATTCTTGTGATCTACAGGCTGGCAGCCCCAGGGTTCACTGCCCTGCCCACCGCAGCTGTCTGGCAGTGGCTCTGCCCCTCTCCTCCTGTGACTCTTGCTCCCCTGACTGTCTCCAGGAGCCTGACAGGGGCCAATGCTGCTGCCTGCTCTCCCCCTTCCTCATGGTACCTTCCACTCTTCATACCTCCCACTTCTGGAGTACAATTTCAGAACACAGGATTAACCATTCAAATTGGTTGAAGGACAGTATAAAACAGAGGTCAGAAATAGAGCTTATGGGTTCACACTGCAGGGTTTAATCTCAGACCCTCCATTTTTCTCCTGTTAAAAGTAAGGTAGTTTCTCTGTGTAAACCTCACTTCTCTTCTTTGTTACATGGAGATATGAATAGCATCCAGCTCATACGGTTGTTGTGAGTACGGCATGAGCTACTCCACCAGTGCTCCCAGCACAGGGCCTGGCATGGAGAGTGCTGGTTACCGTTAGCGTGTCATCGCTGCAGTGAATTTCATGGGGTTCTGAGACTCCTGAAAGCTCCTGAAAGCTCCTGAAAGGTTCACTGAACCAGGAGCCTGACTGATGAATAAGTGGAAGTTTTGCTGCATTCTTGTGATCTTGCCTAATCAAGACACTAACTCAAAACCAAAACTGCCACCACCAGGTGGTTAGCCAGCAGGAGCCTGAGTCCAGGTTTTGTCACTTAATGGACTCAGGGTGGCCCGCTCAGACTGGCTGGCCCTCTTGACAGGTTAGAGAAAGGGCTCCTTAACCCAGGAAGGGGAGCTACTCCCCCACAGACACTTCTCCATCCGGGCAGAGGGTGTGCCTGAGGCCCAGAAAGCCTTGGGAGATGTTCTGCTGGCCATTCAGAGCTTTGAGCAGCAAGCTGCTGCTGCGGGAATGGGTCAGGAGCAGGTGCTGGGAAAGTCTCCAGGAGAGCAATGTACAAATCCAAGGACCCTCAGGTGCCGAAGTCTGAGGCCTGGTGTTCCTGTTCTGAGTCAGCATATATGTGAGTATTACTACTCACATTACTACTAGGCTTTGGGCTAGTGTTTTTACACACCCCTCTCCCTGGGGCTGGGTCATGCTAGGACACAGTCTCCAAATGGCTTTTCTCTCACATCAGCAGCTGTTGTCATTTCATGTCACTGCTTTGACATCACCAGGAGGATGACTTTTCTTGAGGATCCAAGAGGGCTGTGGGCATGTACTCTGCTTGAGGAGGGGCCTCCACAACCTGGTTCCTACTCTCCAATCAGATTCTGAGGAGTGTGGTGAGGGGTGGTATTTCACTTACATTTGTTTCTAATCTCTGGGGGAAGAAAATGAAAATATAAGAAAATCTTCTAAAGGTTCAGAGCTCTGGCTTGTGTTACAGTTCAAGTTCATTCAGTATATATCCAATGGGCAATAATGGGAAAATGGGAGTCTTTTTCTGATATTTACCAGCAAAGAGACATCATGCAAGTCACTTAACACCTGTGGGCTCCCTTTCCTCATCTTTAAAAGATAAGGTTGGAGTAGTTCTAACTTTTTATGGTTCTATTCACTAATTCCAATTATGATAGGCACTAAGTAAACAGTATCATTGTAATGATAGTGCCATTACTGAGCACTTACTATAAGCTAAGTATTTTACATAAATGATCTTATTCTACCACCCAAACAACCTATCATTATCTTAATTTTTTCAGATGGGTAACTAAAGTTTAAAAAAGTGGAGCTGTTCAACATTATGCATCCATCAAGTACAGATCTGGGATATCTGAATTTCTGTCTTAAGTGAGGTGATGAGGTTGATTCTGTTCAATGCTTTCGTTGGTGATTTACATATAAACACAAGGGCATTTTCTCATGTTGGAACCCAGATAGGAAAATCCTTCCACCCTCCAGGCAGCTAATCAGGGGATTGTGTTGTCCTCATCAGTCCTACCCCTGAGGGAAGACGCTAGTTGCCTGTATATTCTTACCTTGGCAGAGGCATCCTGTCCTCAAAATCTCTAAGAAGCCACCCACCTTGGGAAAGGGTGAGAGTGGAAGCAGAATCCTCCCTTCACCCAATCCCCAAGACTAAATCAGATAATCCTGCTCTGCTTTAGGCTATCGCAGGAGGTAGGAGTAGTTATTCCCAGTTTATTACTAAGTAAAAATGAAGATCAGTCTTTCTCCTTATGCCTGACTTTCTCCCAGCATTAATGTCCCGGGAGATCTAGGAAAAGCTATTGAAAGCAGCTGGCCTGTCTTGAGCAGAGCAGAAATAGATTGCAGCCCTCCCCTCATAGCCAAGGCAGCAGAGCATGTCACCATGAGCAGGTCACCAGGAGCATTTAGGTGTTAGGCCTTGGCACGGCTGGTATGGGCTTGGGAAGATGGAAGCAGGCTGAGGAAGTCCAGGAAGGCTCCTGGTAAAGGTGGCCATCCCGAGGGCTCTTTGATGCCCTGCACATCTGCTGCTTCTACCACTTTTTAAATTTATCTGAGCAAAGGCCAAAATTAGGCAGGCTTTGTACTTGGAGCTGAGGAGATAAACTGAAAGGAAAGTATATTCCTTCTCCTCAGTTCTCATATAATCTAGGGCTTTACACAGCTAAATGTCCTTTCCATTCAGACAAGAGGGTGCCAGATACGGACTTCTCAGTCTATGAATTACAACCAGAGAGAATGCTATTTTTAGTTTGCATTTGTTTATCTATATTTTAAATCAAACTCTTATTACCCTGGTTCAGCACTGATTAAGGGCTCTCTGGAGTCTTTACTGTGAGCCTGGCACATACTGTGACTGGCTCGAAGGGTCAGGCAATGACCAATCTGCAAGACTGTTGCATGTGTTGAAAGCACACAGTCTATGAATCTTCCCTCCAGTTCCAGCTGCCAAAGCATTCCCAGCCCAAGGGTTGCCATGCTACTCCTCAGGTACAAGGAGAAGCACTCTGCCTACCTGAGCAGCTGCATGAGGGAGGGAGGGGCCTGGATGAGCTGGCAGGAGATAGGTGGGCCTCGGTATCTCTTGGTGAAGCCTAAACCAATGGATTAATCCTTGTACATTTGACCCTCTGCCCAGCCAGGCCAAGGACATTCACTTCAAGGCTCCTGAGGTGGCCTCTTATCCCAGGTTCATCAGAGCCAGGAAAAGAATAAAGCCAGGAATAGCAGAAAGAATAAATAAAATTGAAAAATCAAGACCTTTTTCCTTGGTCTTGCTTACCCGCTAAGGACACCGAGAACCAAGTTAAGTACAAAAAATGACCCTATGATGATTAGTGTAACAAAATAGATCCAGGGCCAGTCCCTTCCTACGGCATCATTGACCTGGAAGAATGGAATGATAGTTAGTGAGGTGCACACAGCAGTCGAGCACGGCCCAGCACCCATCACTGGCTCCAGACACTGATCCATGCAGCGCCAGGACCCTATCCTCTAGGTGCAAATCAGAGGCCAAACAGCCTGCCAGCCAATGGGTAAGAATTTGCAGTTGAAGGAGACCTTTCCCCCTGGTTTTCCTGGGCCTCATAGGGTCCCATTCCTGAGGATCCTGGCGATGGCAGAGTGGAACCTGGGACCTTGCTCGGCTGCATTGTAAGGAGGACATAGAAATGGTCGGCTTACCCGCTCAACACACCGAGAACCAGATTTAGAACGAAAAAGGATCCAAAGATGACCAGACTGACAAAATACACCCAGGGTAACTCATAGCCCATAGCGTCCTGCATCTGGAAAGATGAAGGAAAGTTAGGAAAGAGAGAAAGCAGAAGTGAGTCAAAGTGAGGAGGCAGGTAGAGAAGGGAGTGGAGAGAATCTGGAGAGACAAATGGGGCTGAACTTGGTCTTTGTGTGGATCATGGTCTATTGCTACCCTCACATTGCATCATCTATATTCAGACTACTTTCCATGACCTTGACCTGAACTGTCAGGGGCTTTTGAAAGGCTCTGCCTTAAGAGAAATCTTGTCTGGCTGTCTCTGTTGTTTTATTTTCTGGAACAAAAAATAATTTCCCCAATGTTTTCTACTCACCTGTCTAGGAAGATGGGGTTGGCTCAAAAAATAATTTCTTCAGCAAGGAACAGTTTTGGCTCTTTTGGGTTTATGTGGCATTAACTCTTCTATTGCACAATGAGCTCGGTGTCAGAAGTTCCTTAGCTCTTACTGTGAGAGCCAGAGATCTGGAACCTCCAAGAGTGGAGGAAGGAGGCCTTCCTGAGGGGCTTGCTGCCTGGATCTGAGCTGGCCCCAGATTTTAGAGGTGGAATGCCAGGGCTTCACCAACACTACAGGCCACAAGCAGGAAAGACGGTCATTTTGGTTTATGTTTTCACAGAATGGTTCCTATGACTACAACCATGGCCTAGATGGACACAGTCCTTACCCTGGAAACTGTGACCTGTAATTAACCAAATCATAAGACTCCCCAGGAAAGGCTGCAACCTCCTAGAGAAGCTGGAGGCCATGGTGTACAGAGCTGGTTTCTGTGGGCATTAGAGAGCCACCATGCATTTCCTCCAATCTCCATGTTCAGTGACTTCACGACAGTAGCTTGAAATTGGCCATGGTGGACAAAAATGGGCAAGTGATACAGATCCACTCCCCTCCATCCTGTGGTCCCTAACAACTGGCCATTGAACATTCACCAGCACATCCCAGGTTAGTGAGTGGACATGAAAATGAGGGTAGGGCATGGAGCAGCATTTTTATAAAAAAGAAAATTTATTCTGATTTGATTTCTCAAATCTATTTATTTTGATGCTTTCTGACAAGACTATTTTAGTCTTACCTTCCGAAGATGAACCCCAAGTTTGTCTTTGTGAATTTGGCTTACAGGAATCCAAATTCCTAAGTACCAAGCTTCTTAAATGGTTTACATCACTAGTTCTCAGAGTAGTGTCCTGCAGACTAGCACCATCACCTTCAGCTGGAATTTGTTTTGAAATGCACATATTCAGGTTCTATCCCACAACTCTGGCAGTGGGTCTGACAAACCATATCTTATCAAGCCCTCCAGGTGAGTCTGATGCACGTAAGTTTGAGAATGCCTCTGCTTTATGGACCATTCCTTAACTCCTAATTTTAAATATAAGGACACGGAAAATATTGTGATTCACTACATACCTCTGTTCAGCTGCCCTGTGGTGTTCCTCAAAGTAGGACCCAAAGACCACCAGGACCAGAACCACCTGGGAGAGGTATGAACAAAGCAGATTCCCGGGCCCTTCCCCAAGAACACAGTGGGCCTCAAGACTCTGCATGTTAATCACCTAGGTGATCCTAAAGCAGGCTGAAGTTGCTGACCACCACCAGGTACGTGAAACGAGTTCTAGGTGTGCTGAGAGAGTGCCACCCCCAGCCCTCAGACTTTGGGAAACCCCACCCACGTTCCTCAGTATGCTAGACAAATATGTTCTTTGCATGCTGTAAACAAAAAAGTTTAACAAATATGAGTGACCTACCTAATCTAATTTGAAATGTTACATTCCAATATATTCTTTGCAAATTTATTACTATTTATCTGGGGTTACTATATTTTAGTTAAAGGAATCTACCAAATGTAGTCATGGTGCAAAGTACGAACAATATGCCAAGGGCTTGGGGGTCATTTCTTAGAACTGAGTCAGGAAAGAGAAGAACAATTCCCACCTATGTCTACTGAGCCATGTCAAATTTAATTCAATATGAGTTGTTGATCATTTCCACTTCCACACACCCTCCTCTGTTTTTTACATAGTACTTATCACTTTCTAATCTATAGTTTATTTAGTATGGGTTTGTCTTCCATGCTGGAATGTAAACTCCATGAAGACTCGCAGTTTTGATCTTATTTGTTCACTGGTGTATCCCAGGGGCCTAGAACAATGCCTTGCATGTAGCAGGTCCTCAGTAAATGTTTGTTGAATGAATGAATGAACTTGATATGTGTCAGGCACTGTGGTGTAAAGAGGAAGCCCTTGCTTGAAAGGGGAACAGATGAATAAGAGGCAACCACAATGCAAGGTGATAAGTGAAGTCAGAGAAGTAAACATGTAGGATTCTCGAAGCCCAAAGTCAAGAGTGGCTGCACAAGGCAGAAGAAGTAAGCAAGGAAGAGTCAGGCTGGGCAGGACAAGGTAGGCAGGAGCAGAGAGGAGTCCTGTGATAGAAACAGGGCTTTCCTAAGAACCTGGCAATTGTTAAAAATAGAGCCTACAGCTGGAAAGCCATCTTGGCTCTGGGATGGAGGCTTTTCCCAGTGGCTGAGCACTGAACTATCCAACACAACAGCAGCTGTGAGGAGGGCAGGGCAGAGAGTTCTGTGTGCACTGGAGCTACTCCATCACAGGGAGTCTGAGAGCCTCCTTCAGCCAGAAGGTAATTAATTATGTGAGGCAAAGCTGCAAAGGAAACAAAGCAGCAGAGGGAAGTCTTCACTACCAGGAGAAAAACAAAGCTGCACTAATACAAGGAGGAGCAAGACTGGTGAAGTGAAACTAGGAAGAAGGACAGCATGGGAGCCACGGGGAGCTCGGGAGCCACATGGCACGTAATGGTGGCTATGATGGTCATGTGATACCAGGGTCTGTATGTCACATTTTATTATGGGGAACTGTGACATAATCCTTCTATTATTCTTGGCAGCGGTCTTGTTAGCGTCCATGTTGGTTCAACAAGTATTTACTGACTACATACTATGTGTAAGACTTTGTGGTTTGTGCCACAGTGAAAGCCACAGGGTTGGAAACGGCCCAGAGATAAGAGGAGACATCTGTGAGGAGGCTTCTATGGAAACCTGGATCCCAGGTCATGTGAAGCCTTTCCTCTCTCAGATTAAATTCTGCCCTTGAAGGTCCGAAGAGGTCCCTTCCTCCTCCTTAACTTAGTACTTCTTTGCTCTTTTGGGAGGGTGGGGAGGTCAGGAAAAGCTGGAAAAACAAACAAACAAACAAACAAACAACCCAACAACAACAACTGTGGGCTCTCACTAGAGAAAATGCACATACATGTACCTCACTGCACATAATCTCACGGGTGTTCTGGGCCCCGTGGGGCAGGGCAGTCTAGCCTGCTTGTTCCACACTAACCATAGGAAAGTGCTTCCTCAAGCATGGTTAGGGGGTCGGGGGTCTGTTCTGAGGAAGTTGCCCAGCTCTGCCTGGGCCACAGACCTCCTTACCTCCCTCAGGATGGCCAGCAGAGGCAGTCCAGGAGGTGACCTCATGCTCGCCACAGTTCACTCTCGTGGCACTGTCCCAGAGCCCGAAAGGTGGTGAGTGGGAGGGAGGGCTGGTTGGCTCCCTGAAACGAGATTTCGTTTCGAGATTTCCCTGACTGCTTCCTCATACCCCCTCAATTTTGTGAACACTTAACCTCACAGAAAATGTGGTCCTCCTAGCTACATATCTCTGATGAGCCAATAAACCCATGGGCCTTGGAGATATCCTTGGACCCCTATTGAGTCTGCCTGCACTCTCCTCTGTGCCATACACAACATGAGTGACTTCCAGCATCATTAAGAACCTCAACTGAGTGGAGCTACAGACCACGTCACCCAGAGATATCTCAGAGTTGGCCGCACAACCCATATATATATATATCCCATAGCCACAGCCGTATCCAGGAGACTCATGTTCTCCATCTCTCCCTTGTTGTCCTATGTTTCTACTTTGGTTTTGCCCTTGGCTATGGGATAGCTCTTTTAGAGGTTCAAGATGGGGAATAGTAGGTGAGGGGTAGGAGGACAAATGAGAGATTAACACGCCTCAAGGTGGTCCTAAGACCCCATCACTCCCTTAGTGAGCAGTGTTCAGCGGCCACCAGAGGGGGATTCTCTGGTCTACCTGGTTCTGGCCTGATAGGAAAGAGCCCCTTTATTTCCCCTCCTACTTTCTCTTCTTTATTCTAGGCCACTTACTTTTAGGGGCCGACTGGGTAGAGTATACACAATGCTGGGTGGCTCTGAAGTAGGGCAATGCTTGGAGTGATAGAGTGATGTCTTAAATCAGCTAGAATGGAGCTATTGAGAAGGGAAAGAATAAATACATTCACGCTCTCAGAAAATGACCCAGATAGCTGACATCCTTATTTAGAGGTGAAAAAGAACAGGCCCTCATGAACCATGAAAGCAAGTTGTTTCTCAGGCCTGTAACAAAAGCAGCTCTCTGACTTTCTGAAGAAAGGCCATGGAGAGCTCTCCAGATGTCCACCATTGGCAGCCTTGGCCTCTAGGACCAACAGCCAGCACATGGCCCTGCCTTTGCTGAAATACATACCTCACTACTCCTGTAATCAGTGGACAAAGGGAATACTGAGTGAAAAACACAAAAGACCCTTCTGAAACCAATA